CCATGTTTTTATTATTCTTGTCGCTGTAGTGCTTTTATCTACCAATGGCTCTTGGTATACCACCCTCTATATTCCTGGTCCATGCTCAGTTTACCCTGCTCTATCAATTTTGGATTCACACTGAGGTATCTATATCTAGACAGTTCACTTTGACTTTATCTTATCTTATAACATACTGTAAGATAGAGTAAATGAATGGGTGGATGTATGGATGTATGGATGGATGGAAGGCTAAATGGGTGGATGGAGGCAGGCAGAGATAGGAGGCAATGGACAACAGGATAAATGGATGGGACAAGGGACGAGCAGGCAGATATGAATTGATGGATGGACAGATAGACGAATGGACAGACTGATGAATGGATGGATGGACAGATGGATTTACATGGATTTCTATTTCTAGGTGGTAAAATCTCTTGGTCCTCTGGAGTACATTTTCAATTCACCAAGTCACCACAGGGTTCATCATGGTATGTTGTGTCAGGATATTCTGAAAATCAGAGAATTAATTTGCTTACAGTTTTACTTATTTATATAATTTTGTTGTTGATTTATTAATGCTTTTCTTTTGTAGGACGAAACCCTTATTGTATTGACAAAAACTATGGTAAGTTATGATGATGATGATGAAGATGATGATAATGGTGGTGATGATGGCCATGATGGTGTTGGTGATAATGATGGTGATGATGATGATGGTGGTGGTGGTTGTGATGATTGATGGTGCTTGAGTTAATAATGGTAATGGTGATGATGATGATGATGATGATGGTGGTGATGATGATAATGATGATAATGGTGATGATGGTAGTGATGATGATGATAATAACGATGATGATAATGATGATGGTGGTTGTGGTGATGATGATAACAATGATGGTGATGTAGATGGTTGATGATGATGATAATATTCATGGTCATGATATAATTATTGTCTAAAAATATTTTGTTTCTACAGGTGGTACCCTTATAATCTGGGACAGAATGTTTGGTAAGTACCACCAGGAATATGTAATATAACATTATACTAACCACTCTTTTCACTTCTACGAGCTGATCTAGACAACAGTCACAACAGGGAAATAGGGCAATACACTGCCGCCAATCAGATAATATAAAGGTACCAACCAATTTATTTGATTGATGGAAATGCACTGCCCAATTTCCCTGTCACGACTGTAGTTGCAAATAGTGCATAGCAATGAAATGAATGGTAATGCTTATAAATCTTAACATTGACAACCTATACCTTGGTTTTCAGGCACCTTTCAAGAAGAGACTTCAGAAGAATTAGCCTATGGTTTGGTTCATCCTCTGTCCACCTGGAACCCTCTGTGGACACAGGTATGTTTGAACATGAGAAAGAAAAAACAAAAACAAAGGGAAATAGAAAAAAAAAGCAAAAAACAAGAGAATATCTGTGAGCTTTTTTAAATTTTTTTCATTGTTGTTAGATTTGTCACTATCATCATATATGGAATACATTTTGGGCAACTGATGGATGGAAAAACAAGGTCTGTAGTTTCATTGTTATCACTCAATATTCTCTTACCTCATTTCTTCCTTCTTATCTTGACATTTCATTTATGTAAATGCCAATATTATAAAAAAAACTTGTCATAATTGTTCRAAATATTAGGATAGATTAATCAGGCAAGAAAAAAAATCTTGGATTCTTCTTTGACCTGTTCGTCATCAAAACTGTATTCTACACTTGATTTGATCACCACAGGGTTCCCACTGACATTTCTCCACAGCCGAATATCCACACTAGATTCCTTTGACTCTTTACTTTTCCTTTTCCAGTTATATGTGTTGGTCAAAGGTCCTGGTTGGATGCCAGGTCAGCCTCRTCTTGGGAATCCTGATGATATCCCTAAGGTAAGACCCTGATTCTGACTTGCTCGTAAAAAATAAAATGGAATTCATGGTTTCTGTATTTAGAAACTGTTATATTTTTCCTTACCAACTGCAATATGTTAACTGATTGATCGCTGTCAAATGCCCAGTAGCGAATCAAGGGTGGTGTAGTGAATTCGCCTCTAAACCTGGAGGGTATCAAGTTTAATTTCTGGACTTACAGCGTAACTACTGTAAATGGGGCCACTTAGATGAGAAAACCAATTAACATCTAGAATGAAAACAATGTATTCTAACTTTGGGTAGTCGAGCCATTTATTGCTAAGTTTGCAAAGTCCGGTTGCTACACAAGTTTAGAGAAAAATTGATAGACTCGTTCATATTCAAGGCTGTGCTGTGAAATATGATTGCCTGGCGCGCATTTTCTCGCTTTTGATTGGATAAGAGAGGAAGTGTTCGGATGCAAATATTTCCCCACTAGCCTATAGGATATGGACTTGCTAGAATCCATGCTTGCTGAAGTTTGGGGAGACGCGAAAGAAAACAATAACAACTCGTTTTTGTTTGTATTCAGATCGAGTACCCTATCGTCAAGTACGACGTTCATCCTGGTATGTGGGGTAACGTGTACGCTGTCTGCCATGGCTTGCTGTTTCTTGTGGCTTATCAACAACTCATCGCAAAACATATGGTAAGAATTGAGCTTTATTAAACATTTGTAATATATTTAAGCTGATAGACAGCGGCGAACTTTTATATTACTATTACTATTACTATTCATGCCGGCTTTCCCATTTGTTTCTCTTTCTCTCTTCCTTCTTATTTCTTTCTTTCCTTCCCTCTCTCCTTTCTTCTTCCTCCTTTCTTTTTTTCTTTGTTCCTTCTCTCCTTGTTCCGTCTCTCCTATCGTTCCAATAGTTCTCTCACACTTTCAAACTCTTGCTTTCTATCAATGGACAACTTCGACGATATGGCGGCCATCTTGCCCGGGGGCAAAACAAACACAAATCTCGAACAAAAATTCTTTTATGGGTAAAGGTGATCGGTGTGCTGTCTTGTATTCTCTCGTGGTGAGCTGTTAATACCAATCGACGTCATTACTGTAACAAAGGTTTATTTACCACCTGGACGCCCCCTAACGCCTTGCCATCCAAGATGGCCGCCGTATCGTCGAAGTAATCCATTCAACCCTCATCACGAAACTCAGGATGCCTCTTTTCGTCACCATTACTTACCCTTCTTTTTTCGTCCGGGCTCAATATAAATGATTCAGATATGATTTCGCATGCTTTTTCGTGGTTTCAGATCCTGAGCCAGTTCAATGTATTGGCCGTCGTCTTCTTCTTGATTCTCACGCTCACTTCAATTGGAGCGCTTTTCGATTKCAAGTAAGTACAAAAATCAAAAATCAAATAACTTAAAACTTTGATGGTGGAAAGCAAACAAAAATTGCTGGGGCGTAGCCAGGATTTTGCCATGGGGKGGGGGRGGGGGGGGGCAGGGCAAAAATCGTTTTCAGAACATCGGTAAGTCGAACTTATTACGTTACTACATAGATGTTTAGATTCTTACAGCGTAAAGATTGGGGAGGGGGGAGTGGGGTGGCTGGGACCCCTTGCCTCCCTGGCTACGCCCCTGAATTGTATGTGTTTAGCATAATTGTTCCGTATTCCTTCTTCCCCTGTCAGGTGGTATGCGTCGTATCTTGAGTTTTCTCGCTGTCTTCTTTTCATCCTCTCTGATGTGCTGTTAACATCACACGATCTGAATACAGGAGGTAAGTATCCAAGTACTGAGTACATAAGAGACCTTTAGCACGATGTTCTTGCTAGGGAGAGCAATCCTCAAACTGCAGTTCAAGGGCAGGAGTTTTGCCTCAAACGTTCGACATTTAGCGAGGCTTCATAACATAATTATTGCTGGAAGAGCYGCCATATMGAATKTAATTGATGTTGAGTGTTTCTCTGTGTTTCTGGGCGTGTTTCTGTTCCTGATCCCTCGCGGTTAGCGGAMAACCTGATAAACATAAACAAAGTTTTTAATTTCATCTTTTTGTCTCGTTTCTAGTTCTGCCTGAGTTCTTTTTGACCATCACAAGAGCATTCTTCATTGGATCGACTTTCCTATGGATGTTCGTTTGCATGGCTCATAAAGGCAAAGTCAAAACGTCATAGACAAGCGAGTCACATGCCCTGAAATGTCCGCGTTTTAACAAAATGATTTCAGTTTTTACTATATGAATAAGAAGMATTATATTAAGTGGCCATGTCAAAACAATTATCTAAAATAAGGACCGATTTTATTGATTTAGGTGATGATGGTAGACCTGTTGCTCGATACTGGGCATTTGGTTGACTATTTCTATACACAAATATGTATACATGTATACAGACAGTTTATTTATTTCTCTGATTTGAATTTTAGTTTTGGAAATATGATGATGATGATGATGATGGGGATGATGATGATGATAATGATGGTAGTGATTATGATAGTGATGGTGATAATGATGGTGATGATGATGACCATGATGATGATGATATTGGTGGTGATGATGATGATGGTGATGATGATGATGATGACCATGATGATGGTGATGATATTGGTGGTGATTATGATGATGATGATAATGGTGGTGATTGTGATTATGATGATGATAATGATGGTGATGATGATGATGAATTGTGTATTTTATGCTTAATTCACCATTTTCCATACATCGGTTCACTGGTCAAACACAAAGCATTCAGTTGAGGTCGCAAGGTTCAAATTTGAATAATCCTTTGAAAGTACCTTGGCGCCTCGCTTGAGCGCTTTGTGTTTAACCAGTGAACCAATGGTATGGAAAATGTTGAATCACGTCAAAGAAATTAATTATTAGTTTAAAGAGAACCTTTGCAACAAAAATGAGAATTACTTGCAAAATGATTGTTAGAGTTGACCAGTGTGTGCGATTCCTCTCTTCATGATAGAGCAAAACTATTTGGATTGCGTCGTATTTTTACTTCGCTATGAATTAATTTTTTTTTCTTGATTATATATTTATATTTTATTTTTACGAAKACAATAAAGCTTTTAAAAGAATAAAATATTTTAAGACGTACATCAAATCCCTTTTAAATATATATACATAACTTTACGAAAGAGGCAAGTATAATCTTCACCCTCCCCACCCCTAAAAGATTTTGATTTTTGTTATGTAATTCGAAACCAGGCGGGCTTAGCGATAATGTGCTGTGATTGGTCCGCTAAAAATAACTATCATCTCCCGAAATCAGTAACTTAGAAACGGTCTAATAAACTGCGTCGTTGTAGTTTGAAAAGGTATAAAGAAAACATGGAATACCACGATAAATTATGAGATTTTAAAAGAGATTTTTATATATGGTATGAGACAGTTCGTATATAAGGTAAGTTATTTTCGTGAACATTAATACTATTACATATTGCGAGATATAATTATACAATTCGAGTTGAGTTGAGTCGAACGACAAGCATTCAACAACGGCTTATAGTTTTTACACCTATTTTCTTTGAAAGATGCTTAAATCATTGAATGATAATGTATACCCCGTGCAATATTGTTAGGTTTTCAAAAAATATAATTCTGATAAGATTTTTATTTGTGTGTGTGATTTGGAAGCCAACAAAGTGCACGCGAAAACCATTCTGCAGTCGCTATGTCTGATAGCATACCAATGGAAGAAAAAGCATTCGATGACAGGAGAATGAATAATTTAAAAGCGTTTTTTGATCGCGAATTCAATTCCCTTCTTCATCTCCAGTATTTGTTGTTATAATACGTAGAAAAAAACTATTCAAAAAGCTTGGTAGAGCTGAAAGTATTTAATCTAAACAAATGCGAAGAAAGTAAAAATTCGTCAATCAAAATTTCGATATTGTAGCGTATCTTTCGGAAATCATTTCACTCCTCTGGTTTAGGCTTTACAAACAGAAATAAAATGATTTGTAAATACGTAAATCAAAATTGGTTTTAGAATCCGGGTTTTGATGGAATATACATAACCGACTGACTCCAAAGCCATTAGACTAATGACAATGTCGAGGACGTCAAAATATTGAACTAACTCCTTAATGCTCGAGTAAGATTTCCAATATTGAATAATGTTTSTAAGCATTGTATCCACAAACATTTTTATGTAATTACAGTTTCAATAATTTTTATTAATTTTTTTTTTACATAAATGTATTTTTCATATTAAGTTTTCGGTTTTTTCCCCTTTTTCTTTCAGATTTAGTGTTTTGAATAAACAGTATAGTTGATCAAATATGTTTGTAAATAGCATATTAGCCTTGTGGATTCTGTTGTCGACTTATGGGATTTTATTATTTCCAGGTAAGAATTAAAAATGATACGGACTGTATTCTATAAAATGTTACTTCTAGAAACAACAATTTTTTTCTTATTTCCTTCAGAGTCGAGCGCGCTCACATGTGATATCTCTTCCTGTCTCAATAATGGTACATGTATCAATAGTGGCAGAGGTCTAGCATGTGTCTGTCCTCCTGGGTTTACTGGTAGTAAATGTGAAACAGACATCGACGAGTGTGAGAGTAACCCTTGTTACTTTAATGGCACTTGTGTTGACGGCATTGATGGATATGTTTGCAAGTGTCATGATGGATTTATTGGTAGGTCAGAA